AGACGACGATGTCCGAGTAGTCGGGGCACAGCAACTCCGCCCGGACGGCCCGCATGTCGCTCTGGGCAAACTTCTTAGGGGACTCGCAGATCACCTGGTCCACCAGGACGCCGGTGTTGAGCTGTTCCAGCCACAGCTTCATGCCCACCACGTCGCAGGTGCAGTCCCAGGGGTTCTCGTGCAGGTCGATCTGCAGCAGGGATTTCAGCTGGTCCAGCACCCCGCTCACCGGCAGGTAGGAGAAGTGGTTGCTCCGCAGGCTCAGCCTGTAGAGAGACAGACCAGAAAAAATGTTCCCTGGCAAAGACCTCAGCAGATTGTTGTTCAAAAACAAGAGCTGAAGGTTGGGGACAGATTCAAAGGTGCCTGCCTCTATCTCCCGGATGACGTTGTACTGCAGGAAGAGGTACTGCAGGCTTTGCAGCCCATAGAACAGCTCTGGGCTCAGCCGCTCGATCCGGTTCCCGTTCAGGTACAGCCTTCGCAAATTAGTTAAATCCCCAAAAGCCCGGTCCTGAATGACCGAGATCCGATTATTGCCCAGATGCAGCAAATCCAGCCCAGTGGCATCCACAAAATCTGCCCTGCGTACCAGCGCAATGTAGTTTTCCGTCAAATACATCTTCTTGGGATTATAGGGTTTGGGCTGCAGTTCAGAAATGCTCTCGATCTTCCTCTCCTGACAATTGACATTGAGGCCCAGGTCAGAAATCTGCAAGTTGCAAGTGCAGGCAGTGGGGCACTCCAAAGGCACCGGGGATTTGGTCTGGTAGGCAATGCTGGGGCCATAGTTGCTGTATCCCAGGTCTTTTGAGGGCAGGCGGGAGGTGGGGCGCACCCTTGTCTTGTTGGGTTGGCGGGTCCCTTTGGGGGGCTTCAGGGGAGATTTGTAAACAGCTGAAGAAGAAGTGGCCACAGAGTTGACCGAGGCCGGGGTAGTGTGGAAATACCCTGTAGTGCTCAGTGGTGTCTGAGGTCTCATTTCATAATCAGAGATGAGCCTCCTGGGGCAAAGCTCCTGCTTAGAGACTTCATCCAAGTCTCGACCATGTAAGCGGAAAGGGGTCTCGCAAACCACATCTCCCACCAGCGCGGAGTATGAGATGCTGTCCAGCCAATCCTTTAGAGCAATCAACTCACAAGAGCAATTCCAGGGGTTTTCCTCCAGCTGCAGCTCCACCACTTTATCCATGTGCTGCAGGAGGCCCACATAGGGCAGCAGCTTCAGCCGGTTACCCCTCAGGTCCAGGTGAGTTAAGGGCACAAAACGGAAAAGGTTGTTGGGCAAACTGGAGAGGAGGTTATCATTGAGAATCAGCACCTGCAACAGATGCAGTTTGCTGAAGGCATTGGGTTCAATGACACTAATGTAATTATAATCGACCTGTAGGTATTCCAAACTCTCTAGCCCAAGGAAAGTGTCATCCCGTAAAAGTTCCAACTTGTTATTGTTCAAGTGCAGCCTCCTTAAACCTCTCAGACCATGAAAGGCCCCAGTTTCGATGTCTTGTATGTCATTGCTCCCCAGATGCAAAATCGAAGCCCCCGTGTAATTGACAAACTGGTTTGGGTACAGCCTGTTCAGAAGGTTCCCAGACAACAAGAGGTGGTAAACAGGGAACCTCGGTGGACTGATCTCAAAAAGGCTGATGATCCCTCTGTTTTCACAGCTCACTGTTAAGATGCTGTCCTTCTCCTCACAAGGACATGCATTATCACAGATTTCCCCATAATACTCGATGCTTTCTGCCCAGGAAAGGACTAGTGATGTTAAAGCAAATGCGATCGTCTGCAGCATCCAGATATGCATTTTTTTGTTGAGGTCCTGTTCCAAAGTTACTGTAGAGCAGCAAGCAAACATTTTATTTCCTGTAGGGATAAGGAGAAAAAAAAAAAAAGTAGAATAATAGGGTAGCCCCATAACATTTGAAATGGAAACAAAGTTTATATGTGTCTTCAGTAGGGTAGAGAATGGACTGTTCACCAACCAAAAAAACCCCCCTCCTGTCACTTCTAATTCACACACTTTTGGAAACTGGATGACATGCCTTGATTAAAGGGTTGATAGGCAACTCCTTGTGAGTCAAATGCCTGCGGTGTCTAAAAAGGTGAGGTCACAGCAGGAATTGCTCTGGTTCTGTTAGTGTGGGGTGAATTTCAATGCTTCTTTGGATTTCCTTTTCACAACCCGCCCCATAAATATACATAAAATGGCTGTCAGTTCAGTTTCACGTTTCTAATTTAAGAGAAAAGAAACACCATTTTACGAGGTTTCCCACCTCCCCTATTACCCAGCTCCCTCTTCCCTTCAGAACCTCCCTGCTGAACCAGTGCACCAAGGTCTTCCCCTCCTTTTACCTTGATTTTAAACTGGTGATGGAAATACCATGGTAGGAATCCAAAGAAAAAATGCTCAGTGCTGAAAATGGCATCTTAATTCAACAGAGGGAACACTGACACATTCTCCACATCACACATTTTTTAAAACTCTTTTATGCTGGTGGTTTTTTCCCTAGCTATACATTTACAAAGCACACACCCACCCACACAGACAAGCACACACGCGCGCACACACACACACATGCACACATGCTCGCACCCCCAGATGACTTTTGTGCAGGAATTCTTCTGTGATGAGATTAAATACATTAACCTCCTACTTCAGTGCACTTAACAGCTCTCTTCAATTACGGAAATTGTGCATCTTTACAAAAGCAAGTAATATTAATTGATATGTGATCCCCTCCCAAGTTATACACAATGTAACAGAGCTCATTTCAAGCAGAAGTCTCCTGTTTTCTCTCTCACACACACACATACATACTCTCAAAAGAAATGTTTTAACCACTCACCCAAAATTTGTGAAAAATGTAAAACATGCAGGTCATCTTCGGAGTCTCATCCATATCTGACATAGCGCTTATTCCCAATGTTCTGCAAAACTAGCCTGGTAGAAGTGGAGAGATCTAAATAGGTCTCATGAAAATATCTCATTGCCAACACTCCAAACATCAGAGTAACTGATTATAAGCAGCGATGGCTGTCAGTGCTCTTCATCCTTTAGGGAAGAAGACACCCAGGCTGATTAAAAGCCAAGGAGGGTAGAAGGGAAACCCTACCATTGCCCTACGTCAGTAATTTAATGTCCGAATTCCACCTAGCTGGAAACAAATCCTTTCCTTTTTTGCTGTCTTTCTGACTCCTCGTGGCTTTCTTCTATTAGTCTAAAAGCAATATGAATAGAGAAAATAAATGCATTTTGTGTGTCGGTAGGGGAAGACTAATAAATCATCAGGTTTAAATGCTGGGATCTTGGACCAGGCTTGCATTTTCTATCGTCCACCTCAGAGCTCCAATCCTCATGACACAACTCTGGTTTGGAGGAACGCATCCTAAAAAACGAGAAGTCTCAGTACTGCAAGACATCTCCTGTGGCATCAGGTTCAAGGCTGCAAAACTAGCACTTGCAGCAAAGGCAATCATGCAGCAAGAAATCGGAAGTCTCCGTGAATCTCTCTAATTCTGACCAGACGTCAACTGGATTGGAATTACTCAAAGCAAAAAGGCTTCACTGCATAGAGGCAGCAGAAATCTTACTCAAAGGAATGTATCTAGCATATTTTTTCTCAGCTCGATCAGATCCATTCATCCATTAGCCAACAGTTCTTCGGAGAAGAAGAAAAGAAAACCCCACAATGACAACCTATTGAAAACCTGCCCGGTCAGTGTTAAACTCCCAGGCATTTTACAACTTTAATTCAATTATGGTTAGCAAAAGAGGCAAATACAATTTTCCCTCCCTCTCCCTTTCCCCTTTCTCTGACAAAAAAAAAAAAAAAAAAAGAAAAAAGGCGGGGGATGGGAGGTAAAGAAAATAAAGTTGTAGCTGGCTATATGCAAGGTTGCAATCCCGCCCTGGAAACCCCTCTGTGATGACTGTGTGCTGCTGTTCGCCAGCTCCCTACAGAGGTTCAGAATGAGGGGGGGCAGGCAGGGGGTGGGGG